TGTTTGCGACTGCCAGTTGCAATGATGGCTTTGCTTTCTTGGGACAGTTGCAGAGGACGCCCTTCTCCAAATTTTGTGAAACATTCTTGGGCTGTTTTGTTCCAATTATCAGTAACCCAATCCGGATGACGTTTCAATTTGTTTGCAATCCATTTTCGATTGATAAACGTCGCTCCAGCATCGCGAGCCTCTCGAAAGGCAATGCATTTTATTCTGTCAATGATCCTTTGTTCTTCCGAATCGAATTTTCCAGCCATTCTTAAAGCAAATTTAACATTTAATAGCTCATTCAATTCAGTTTTTTTTGGGCTTTAAAATGAGGTGTCGCGGAAGTTGTAAACTGCTGCCGATCTTGCTGTGACCCCCTAGGAAAAGGTTATGCCCCGCCCTGTATGTGCCTTTCTTGTCAATGTGCTGTCTGCACTTCAGCATTTTGTCTAAATCTGTCATCTCCCAAGCCTCTGTATTTCGTGTCACAGTCATCATCCCTGTAAGTTTTTGGCACTAAGAAAACAAAGTGATAGCTTTTTAAGTTTTTTTCTCTACCTATTTGCGTTGGCATTGCCAGTTGGCATAATCTGTATGTATTTTTTTTTTCATATCAAAGAGCAGACCAGCTTTTGCAACTCTGTTCTTTCACCTTCAACAAAAGAGACGCCTTAATTCTTCCATTGATCCTACCATCAAAGTGGTATCATCAGCGTATCTGAGGTAGTTGATGTTTCTGCCAGCAATTGTAATCCTAATTTCTTTTATAGTCCAACACTTCTCATGATACGTTCTGCATACAAGTTCTTAAAAAAATGAAATTACAATATATAACTTTGGCACAGCCTTTTTCCTTTTGTGAACCATTAAGTTGTTGCTCCATAATCCATTTTCTTTGTTTCTTCGTCATCATGCATTTTTCAATACGTAGATGAGGTGGCTTGGTATATCTATGTTTAAGGGCTATCTATAATCTCAGGGTTTACACACTCAAGTAAAAATAACCATTTTTGGTATTCCGTAGTCTTTTCCATTATCCGTCACTTATTAACAACATGATCCCTAGGGTCTGCCTCTCTTGAATCCATTTTATACATATGTTGGATTTCATTCCATGTGTGGATGAAGTTTGGATTGTAAAATCTTGAGAATTACTTTACTAGCATGTAAGATAAGTTCAGTCACATGAAGATAGATATTTATATTATGGCATGTTACATTATGTAAAGTAATATGTATTGAATTTATTCCAATGAACTCCATTTGAGCAGCGTACAATACTGTTACTGTATGTCTTGGTTTTAATAGATATGATCTAACTTTGTGGCAACAACTGCATAATCTGCAGTAGAGGCTAAGCAATAAATCTAGTATTCACAGATTGAAAACCTAACTCTATTTTTGCTATGACCGAACATTTATATTATAACTTCTCTGTCAAGTGTTCCTAGAACTTGGCACGAGTATAAAATCCATTATATTTTTGGCAAAGGACTTGGATAATTGCCAGCTGATCGGTATGTTAAGCAATTTGAAACTTTGCTTCCTTGAGGCACATGGTACAGCATGGTCAGAATAGCAGCTATACTATCAGCTTCAGTAATCTTTTAGATTCATTTGACTCTTATATCAATAACTGATCTGTGATTAGTTTACTGTATAAAGCACGGCATAATTTCAACAGCACATTTGGAAGGAATGATGCAAACAATAGAATGGAGAAAAGACTGGAATTTTGCAAAAACATGAAATAATACTTAAAAGCAAATGAAAATGGCTCCTGGAAGCTCCATATTTTACACAGTTAAAGGGAGATTCCATTCATATTGTATTTTTCAATGGAACTATATTTATTGGAACAACTTATGCTTATGTAATTTATGTTCCTGTATTTTGTTAGAGTACCACACGAAGTATTGCCTAAATTAGGCAACATTCAGTTCCAACAATAATACATCATGTTACAGGTAGTCCTTGACTTAGAACCATTCGAAATTATGACAGTGCTGAAGAAAGACACAACATGTGCCTGATGTTATGGCTGCTGTAGCATCCTTGAAGCCGGTGATCACACTTTGGATGTTTGGCAATACACCCACACTTACGACTGACTATAGGGACACTGCAACTGATCCACCTGCCAATCTTCCTCTCCCCTACCTCTTCTGCTCTGGTTGGATCCCTGGGGCCTGCTTCTCACTCAGCTAGATGCCCACAGGCCTTGGGCCTGCTTCCTGCCTGGCTAAATTCCCATAGGCCTTGGGCCTGTAGCCCATCCTGCTGGGTCCCACTCCTTTGGGCTTTCTCTTTGTCCCATCTTGTCTTTCTCCACTTATCTCTTCCATTCTAATCAGCTAATGCGTTGTAAAGACTTCTTATACAGAAGCTGTCTTGTGCCATCAGGAAGCGAGTGCCATTTTGCAAGCAGTCGCAGTTCTTGAGATCTGAGAATTGCGTTTCCAAAAGAGCGCCTAGCCAATGCAAGGCACGGCCACCTCACGTCATTCTGGAAGTTAGCTGCCACTCTCACAATTTCTCAAAAGTGTACATATCACATCAGTTGGACACTATTTCAGAAAAGTGATCTTTGGAAGAGGTAATTGGTGTGACCAGGAAGATTAGGCACAAGGATGTGGCTCCCAGAGGGTCAGGAAACTGCCTCAGCGGGGTAAAGGCATCCCAGTAAATACCACATATGAGTTGGGGAAGTGCTGCAATACAGGTCTGGGCCTGCCCCCATTCCCTGAGGCACCCCATTTAGTGATCTGCACAGCTGGTTAACAGACCACAATAGTAAGAGCCAGGAGTGTGGTCATTAAGAGAGATGATCATGTGGGCATCTTGCTTAGCGACCACAACCACTTATCACCATAATTCCAGGCTCAGTTGTGGTCATTAGTCAAGAACCTTTAGTGCTTCAAAATGAAAAACATCAAAATAGTTAATAATTAATATTCATCAACTCATCTATGGAAAATCTGAAGTATTTTAATAAAGGTAAAAATTTGCAAAATCACAATAAAATAGTGATGCCATGATCCCAAAATTTAAAATATTTTTGACCTTTCTCATCACTTTGATACCACCAATTCAGGAATATGCTCTAATCGTTTTAACTAAAATAAAATTGAAATTCCTGAGAAGTGCAGTGATTTTGGAGTATAACATTGACGGAGTAACCTCCAGGTTTGGTTTCTCACTTTTTTGCATGGGAAAAAAGTTTGTGGCTTAAACTTAGTTCTGATGTGTGCAAAATTTCAATATCCAATCTTCTTCAGAAAATAACTAGATAATATTCCTTAGTGCTATATTTGAGCAAACGTACATTATTAGGTGAACTATTTTTTGAACTAAGATTGGAAAGGGAAGGTAAAGAATATCCTGATTTTATGTAATATATTTTTAGACCTCAGTGTCCTCATAGCTTCAGGATGCTGCAGGACAGGGACGTCAAACTTGATTTCATTGAGGGCCACATCAGGGTTGTGTTTGACCTTGGGGGCCAAGCGGGCGTGGCCAGCTCAACGTCCTGCAGCCCTCTGCCAATGAAAACAGAGCCCAGGAGGACCACATGTGGCCCTCCCGGGTTCAGTTTTTGGCAGTCCTCCCAAGCTCTGTTTTTGCTGGCAGAAGCGCTGCAGGCTGATCCTTTGCTGTTTCTAGGGTGGGCCTGTGGGCCAGATCTAAACACCCTGCGTGCCAAATCTGGTTCATGAACCTTGAGTTTGACATCCCTGTCCTAGGGGGACAAGATCCTTCTTACCCCATAAGAAAATGGAAGGGCAAGATATCAGCAGTCACAGTATTCGGCTGGGTACAAACAGCAGACAGAATTTGGAGACTTCTGAACAACAGAAGAACAGGAGATGAGAGTCTCCTTTGTTCCATTTCCAATTATGCAGCACCCTGCTTGTGAGTACTCTACATATATCCCAAAGTAAACTGTCACCGTTTAGGTAGGCCGGATAGATAAAATGAATTGTGCACCAGACATTTTTCTACTTATTGTTTGCTTTACACTGACTTGTCCAGTAGTTATATACAACCTTTCATTACGTATAGTCTAAGCCATGGTTGTCCAAACTTTTGGCTTGCCTGGGCCACATTGAGTGAAGAGGAATTGTCTTGGGCCACATATAAAATATATAGTATAGTTAACATATATAAATAATAAACTTCCTTTATTATATATTTTTTTATTATCCTATGAGGCCACACTACCAAACGTCTGAGACCGCATGCAGCCCGTGGGCTAAAGATGACATATTATAGACTACATTACTATCCAAATTGCATTTCATTTTTCCGCAGGTCTATTACCTCTGAAAAAGTTGTGACCTAGCTGAAGGGATCTTGCAGTAGATTAGTGATATTGGTTAAAAACAATGGTGTGATATAGAAGCTTGAAAAGTGTGTGTGTGAGAGAGAGAGGGAGGGTGGGAGGAAGAGAGAGAGGGAGGGAGAAAGAAATTATTCCAATATTGGCCTAATTCTCTGTCTGAATTAACTGAACAATAGTTCCACAATACATCTATACATTAAATGTATTTATTTTATTAGATTTGGAGGCCAGCCGATTGCCAAACAACTCTGAACCATTTAACATTCAAGGACAAGAAACAATGAAATAGAAAATAAGAGGGGGGGGGGGACACAACATTCACAAAAACACTCAATTGTCAAAATAATATTTAGTGGCTTAACAATAACCCCATATTCAAATTATGTATTAAATATGTAATAACATATTCATACAGTATTCATTATAAGTTAACAAGTAATAGTCACAGTATTCAGAAGAACTGAAATGTCAAGCTTTGAATGCTTGTTGCAAAATTAAGGTCAGAAAAAAATACGTTAAAAATACTGTTCTAAATGGAAAATATATTCATCTTGACTTCTAGATAAATTATATTGTCTGTTGTTGTTTTCTAAACTGCTATTTGAACTGTTAATATAAGGTGTTTCTAACACTAATTCACATAGATTTGTTACTTGTTTTATTGTTTCAGTCCTAGTGGGTCTTTATTGTCCTGTTTGGAGCAGGTTAAAACATACCTGTTGACTGATGGAACATGCAAGTGTGGTTTAGAATGTCCTCTCATCCTTCCTAAGGTAAAATTAGATATTTGAATATGCTAAATGAAAAACTAACATAGCTCGAAATGTATTGGATTTTAATTACTAACATCTCCCTATCTATTATAAGAAGGAATTATCCTTCGTAGTTGAGGATGATAGATGTTGACGATGGAAATAAATCAAATATAATTTAAATATTGAAATGTTTTTTTTAAATTGAACACAAACTGATTTAGGAGGAGAAGGAATGGGTGGAATGAGAGTAAGGCATGGGATATCATAAAAAACAACATGACATGATTGCCCAGTTAGAATAATGTACCAAAGCACATATTTGATCAGATCAGTTTTCTTAGTTGCAGTTCTACAGTATAGCGGTTCCAAAGTTCCTTTAAAAATAAGTAGATGTACTCTTTTCCACATTTAGAAATATGGTTTGCAAGAAACACTAGATGAAGGAGAAAAGAGTTGCTGATCCACGATAGAAGGACCAAACCCTGTAGTAAGAAATAATTTTTAAGCTACAATTTAAACAGTGAATCAGCAAAATTGTCCTGTATTTACCTTAACCTTCTGGATCAGAAGTGGGCAACAATTCCCCATCTTTCTCTCCCCCACCCCTCTTCCATGAGCCAGAGTGTGCAACTCTTCCAGGTTTTCTTTGTCACCCTGTCAGTATTTAGTTTTTGTTAGTATGTTGCGTGGTTGAGTTTTTTGGAGGGTAGAAGAATTATTGTAATTCTCCAATCTGGACAACTTCCAGATGTAAGAAGTTCAATTTTCAAAATTCTCAACAGCCAAACTTAGATGGGAATTCTGAGAATTGAGGCTTTAAAATATTGAAAGAATCCTTAAAACAGCAGTGCACCGTCCCACAGATTTTCCAGCCCTAAGTCAAAAGGATCTCTAAGTTCTATAAAAAAGCGTTCATGAGTCGTATAATCAGTTATAGGAGGCTCTCCGGGTACTCTAGAAGGGCAGCTCTTTAAAAAAAAAATAGCATATTTTATTTGGTGGACCAGTTTTAAAAAACAATAGAGAAAGTTTCTGTTATATCGGTGATCTTAATTAGGACCGCTATGTAACATTATGATTCCAATATTATTTTAAGGTATTTAATTTTGATCCTGGAGTTGCTGTAACACAAAGAACAGCTGAAGATGTTAAAGCAGATGAAGATGTCACTAAGCTATGCATCCATAAACGGAAGATTATTGCTGTGGCTACCCTTCATAAAAGCATGGAAGCACCACATCCCTCATTGGTTCTAACTAGTCCTGGAGGTGGAACAAGTGAGTTCTCTTTCTCATTACAGGAACAAAGAAATCTGATAGGCATGTCATTTGCATAAGCAAAAAGGACTTTTAAATATATATATATATATATAAAGGTAATTATTGATAACAAAATAAGAGAGTGCTTCTTTTTATATAGGCATGTCCATCTGTTTATGAGAGATGTTTATCCAGACTTTGAACCGTGTGAGCCTCTTGTCTTAATCCATTACTTTTAAATTTGCAAAGGTCTATCTATGGTTCACTCACTAGCATTGTAGTTATAGAAAGCTATTTAGATCATTCTTTTTTTGTAAGGTGCAAAAATTGTTGTTTTTGTTAGAATGAGCCTGAGCTATTGTATTAGATAAACAGAGGCTTCATCTGTAAAAATATTTAGATAAGTAAATCAGTGCAACAGTCCCATATCTTGGCAAAATGCTGCAATTCTGGGGATGTGCTATGCCTGGGAAGTAGTTATGCTATCAGCATTCAGTGAATACAGGTAATCCTTAACAATTATTCAAAGTTACAATAGAACTTTAAAAAAGTTACCTTGATTTGCTCCTCATACATATGACCATGGTCACCGCAATTTGTTCTGATTCAGCTCTCCAAACACGACAAACCCTCTGAAGTTAAATAAATGATTCCTTTATTAGGCACGCCAGCAGCCTCGGCAAAAAGTTTCCCTCTCATTACAGGCTAGGAAGTCTGTCCAGCAGGGAGATGAATAGTTGTCTGTCACATCTATTCATCTCCGCCCTCTGCCTTTTATCTCCAGAGCTAGGGTGAGGCTTCACTAGCAGCGATGGCTCTTCTGTCCCAAGGATCGGCCCACAGATTTCCACTGCTCTCCTCTCCTCTGCTTTCTGCACACCCACATGTCAGGCACTCGACCCTACTGTTCTTCCTCTTCCACATCAGCCACCTCCAGACCTGTGGGTTGTTGATTCTCCATCTGAGGGCTGACAGATGCCCCAGGGTCCACTTCTGGTTCTCTCCCTCTCTGCCATCTTCATTCCCTCTTCTCCCTCAGAGTTATCAGGTTACCTTGATGCTGACCCTGACTCCCATGCCGCCTTCTCGTCTGATTTGGCTGCTGGAGGGGCTGGCGGCCGACAGGTCACAACATAATTCCATTAGCATGTGATCAAAATTTGAGCACTTAGCAATGGGTATGTATTTACAATGGTTGCAACATTCTAGAGTCCCAGGAGCACCGTACTCAGGGGACTTTGAATAAGCAACTGGGAAAGGCCAGAAAGTGGAAGAAAGGTAATAAAAATGGATTTGTTTTAAAAAGTTACAGGCAGATGATAGATTTGCACCTCTGGCATCTCAAAGTATCTTTGTAGTATAATTTGGAGCATGCGTAGGCCTAAAAATCAAATCAATCGTTATTAGAGCCGTGGTGGTGCACCGGTTAGAATGCAGTACTGCAGCCTAATTCTGCTGACTGCCAAGTGCACACAGTTTGGCAGTTCGATTCCCACTGGCTCAAGGTTGACTCAGCCTTCCACCCTTCCAAGGTCGGTAAAATGAGGACCCAGATTGTTGATGGCAATATGCTGGCTCTGTAAACACTTAGAGAGTGGGTTGTAAAGCACCATGAAGCAGCATATAAGTCTAAGTGCTGTTGCTATTACTATTATGGTCATAGACCAACATAAAACTCAAGGAAGGAATATGGTCAGGAACAGGTGCATAGGAGCAGGAAAAGTACATAAAAATTTGTAAAATATATGAGCCTGAACATAAATATAGTAAACTAAGAATTCCTAAACTGGTTTGCTAGGCTATAAAGTGTAGTGGCAAACTTTAGGCACACCGAAACTAAGCTATAAGGTTGGGTGCTAAGAATGATCTAGAAGTTGCATCCAGCAAATGTCGAGTGCACCTGCATAGAACCTGGCAATACAATGTGTTGTGGCAAGATTAATATTTAAAAGGAGCAAGATAACGTAAACGTATTCCCATATACCTGGAATACTTATCTGAAAAAGGAGGAAGTGGATGTGAATATCTCTGCATTACAGAAGTTGTTGTTTTATAAGCTCACAGTCACAGGGGTATTGCCATGGCCATTCTGAGAAGGGGCTCTTCATTCCTCAGTCACAGCTACATGGAGAGAAAGAGCATCATTGCAGGCCTTTCTGTGCTTTGAGACTTTTAACTATGACAAGTGTGCCATGGGGGAGTGTAAAGAATTGGGGGACCCAAGTCATACTGCTATTCTATGTCAAGAGGTAGACAGTTGAATAGAAATATTTGTAGTGTATGTGAAGAAAACCAATTTTAGGTGCTGGTGGAATCCATAGAGAGCCAATTCTCCTGTGCACTGCTTGGAGAATCCAAAGCATGGGTTTAACTTCTGCCTGTCTGCCCAATAACTGAGTTAGACATTTTGGCCACGCCTTCCCGGCTTCTCCCAGTTTCTTAACTCAGTCTAAGTTCAAAAGACGTGTCCTAAGTCTTTCTCAATCATCAGAGCAGATTAGCTTGGATAGGGGAAGTTATTTGATTTTTCTAGCTGAATTACACAATTAACTTTGGTTAGAGCTAGAAATCTAATTAATTGGTAGTATTTCCTAGTTCCTACAACACTGAATGCTCCAATTGTTTACTGTAGATACCATATAGAGCTGCAGAGATGAATTTTCAATTGATTGAATTTGTGTTCCAGTTTGCTGCAGTGACATAGGACAAAAACTGATGAGCTTCAGGATAGCCATTGCTCAGAACTTTGAAGATTGAAACCATACATTTAGACAAGTGTAGGATAGGAAAAACTGTAATAGGGCGTAAAGTATACAGTATATGAATGTCTATCAAAATTACTGGCTAAAGTGATTTAAATTTTATTACATGATTTACATGAAATAGTAATTTTCGTGTTTTTTTAAAAAATCAGGCATAAGTCCAATAGTACCTTCACGAGCAGCAACTCCAAGATCAATGAGGAATAAATCACATGAAGGAATAACTAATTCTGTGATGCCAGAATGTAAAACTCCTTTCAAGTTGATGATGGGAGCCTCAAATGCCATGGGTAGGTTATATGTGCAAGAGATGACTGCAAGCCAACAAGAACTTCATTCTGTCTATCCTAGACAGAGATTGGGCAATAATGAACACGGGCAGAAGTCGCCATATCGTGGCAGCCATGGAGGAATGCCTAGTCCAGCGTCATCGGGATCACAAATATATGGAGATGGTTCAATCTCACCTAGGACAGATCCACTTGGAAGTCCAGATGTTTTCACAAGGAATAATTCCAATTTTCATGGAGCACCCAATTCTAGCCCTGTTCACATGAACAGGACCCCTCTCTCCCCACCCTCTGTTATGTTACATGGTTCTCCTGTGCAGTCATCTTGTGCAATGGCTGGAAGAACTAATATACCTCTTTCTCCAACTCTGACCACCAAAAGTCCAGTAATGAAAAAACCCATGTGTAATTTTTCAGCTAATATGGAAATGTCGCGAGCAGTGTTTCACCACAAACCACCTCAAGGCCCACCACCCCTACCGCCGCCCCCGCCACCACCACCACCTTCTTCATGTATACTTCAGAAAAAGCCATTAACATCAGAGAAAGATCCACTTGGCATTCTTGACCCCATTCCCAGCAAGCCCATGAATCAAAATCCTGTTATAATGAATCCAAGTACTTACCATTCAAATGTCCACACTCAGGTACCTGTGATGAATGTAAGCATGCCTCCAGCTGTTGTTCCTTTACCAAGTAATCTCCCTTTGCCAACTGTAAAACCTGGTCACACAAACCATGGTAGCCACATGCAAAGAGTTCAGCACTCTGCTTCAACTTCTCTCTCGCCCTCACCAGTAACGTCACCGGTTCATATGATGGGATCTGGAATTGGAAGGATTGAGGCTTCCCCCCAAAGATCACGCTCTTCTTCCACATCATCAGATCATGGAAATTTCATGATGCCAGTAGGACCACAGTCATCTTGTACTAATATTAAAGTCCCCCCTCGGTCACCAAGATCAACAATAGGATCTCCTAGACCATCCATGCCATCAAGCCCTTCCATGAAGATAGATGGATTCCACCAATATAAGGACATTCCTAACTCACTGATTGCTGGAATGAGTAATGTTTTGAACCCTTTGGGCAATGCAGCTTTTCCACCTGCGTCTACTGGAAGTGGGTCCATGAAGAGTCAACCTGGCTTGCTGGGAATGCCTTTAAATCAGATCTTGAATCAGCACAATGCTGCCTCTTTTCCAGCTAGTAGTTTACTCTCAGCAGCAGCCAAAGCACAGCTAGCAAATCAAAATAAACTTGCTGGTAACAATAACAATAACAGCAGTAGCAATCCTGGAATAGTTGCCAGCAATAGCAGCAATGATGGACATAGCACTTTAAACCCCATGTTTCCACCGACTGCCAATGTGCTTCTACCAACAAATGAAGGGCAGAGTGGTCGAGCAGCACTACGAGATAAACTTATGTCTCAACAAAAAGATCCTTTGAGGAAAAGGAAACCCCCAACCACTACAGTGTTGAGTTTGCTTAGGCAATCTCAGTTGGACAGCTCAGTTGGCGTTCCAAAATCTGGGCCTGATTTGATAAGAAAGCAGAACCAGGGTTCATTTCCCATCACATCGATGTCTCAGCTACTTCAGTCCATGAGCTGCCAAAGCTCTCATATGAGCAGCAATAGTATTTCTAGTTGTGGGAGCTCAAATACTGTTTTGCCTTGCTCTGCGAACCAACTACATTTTGCAGATACTACTATGACCTCGAGCACTCTTCCGAATTCACTGGCACAGGATTTACCTTTGAGAGGGGAAAGTATGCACTGCCTGAATTCAAACACTAATTTTGGCCATTGCACTAGTCCTGGCCCAAATAACCATCTTGCAGGCTTAATAAATCAGATGCAGCCTGCTGGAAACTGTGGGGTGCTCAATCAGTCGGGAATGACTTTAGGAAATTCATTACATCTGAATCCAGCTCATCCACGAATCCAAGCACCTTCCACTAAAGTGATACCAAACAGCATTGTGAACAGCTGCAATCAAACCAGTCCTGAATCAGGTATGTTGCCCTTTAGAAAAGGTCTGGATTTGTTTTGTTTTAAATTGATGGCTTGTCTTTTATTCCTTGTCTTTTAATCTACTGTATTGTGTCTGTTTTGTTTCTTTGTAAAATGTATTATTAGCTACCCATCTTGCCACATGATAAATCTGGGTGGCTTACAATATTAAAAGGTAAAACTGTATAATTTATAATAATATAAATAAGATAAAGATAAATGTTCCCCTCGCACATATGTGCTAGTCGTTCCCGACTATAGGGGACAGTGCTCATCTCCGTTTCAAAGCTGAAGAGCCAGCGCTGTCCGAAGATGTCTCATATGGCTGGCATGACTAAATGCCAAAGACACACAGAACACTGTTACCTTCCCACCAAAGGTGGTTCCTATTTTTCTACTTGCATTTTTACATGCTTTCGAACTGCTAGGTTGGCAGAAGCTGGGACAAGTAACAGGAGCTCACTCCATTATGTGGCGCTAGAGATTCGAACTGGCAATGTTTCTGATCGACAAGATAGCCACTGAGCCACCACGTCCCTTACATAATAAATTATTATACATAATAATATAAATGCAATACTGTAAAATCAACCTAGCTAAAAAAGATTGGGGGGGGGGAGAATATGTTGAGAGGGGAAGAAGGTGGGAATCTGCCATTAATCACCCACAACATTAAGGTCTCCTGGAAGGTCAGAAGAGTTGGAGTTGACCTCTCTTCAGGGGATAAGATGTTCCAGAAGGCAGGCACAATGGCAGACTGGACCTCGCCAACCGGACTACCTTGACCAATGGGGCCCACAGCATGCCTCCTCTGGTGGCATGGGTGGGGCAGGCCAATCCTAGCAGGATGACATGGTCACTCAAGTAGAAAAGAAATCTTAAGAAGAAAGCACAAACATTTCTTTGTCCAAAAAAAAAAAAACATTAACTTGCTAACTTGCGACAATTAGCAAGATATTTGGGGCCCAGGATTGATCCCATCCTCCTCCACCCCATCCAGGCACAGACCAAGTTTCCAAACTGTGAACCAAAGAGAATCCTTTTGCAGAGATTCCCACATATGTGCTACAGAATCTGAAATCCCAGAGCGAGGGTTTTTTTTTAAGGGTCCAAATTTAGCTTGGAAATTCAATTAGGACAGTCGTTTACCAGCCTCGGATTTCCCCAAAAAGAGGGTGAAAATCTGGGTGCGTCTTATACACTGAATGCAGCCATTTTTGACTTTCCAAAACCCCACCCTGTGCATCTTGCTTTTTGCAAAAATGGATGAGCAGAGGGTTTGGGAGGTCTATAAGGTGCTCCTGGGGACTGAGGAGAGCAAAACTGAGTGAAATGGGCACGTTTTTTTACAAAAACAGTGTTTTTGCCCTCCACGGCCCCCAGGAGCACTCTATACTCCCAAACTCTCTGCATCGTTTTTGTGAAAAACTGGCCCATTTTTCACCTCCCAAAGCCCCCATGTGTCGCATTTTTGCTCTCCCCGGCCTCCAGGAGCACGTTGCAGGCCTCCCAAACTCTTTGCATGCTCCGTTTTTCACAAAAACCGGGGCATGCAGAGGGTTTGGGATGCCTGCAGAGTGTTCCTGGAGGCCAGGGAGGGCAAAAAATGTTTTTTAAAAAACTTACCTCTTCAAAATCTTGATGCGCCTTATACTTCGGTGCGCTTTATAGTCCGAAAAATATGGTAACTTGGACCTGGGATACAATTTAAGTATGAGTCAACATTGTGTGGTCGGTGTAATTGGAATTTATAATGGATTTTATTTCTTTCTAAACATCTACATATATTTATGGATTGGAAATATTGCTTGTTTTTTTCATTGGTATCCATTTTTTTCAAATACATTCATATTTGGGAGGAAGACAATGTACCAAATATATCCATAGAGTAACAAAATATATGTCAATTTGAATAAATGTAAATATAAAATGAAATTGAAATATATAGTTAATAAATTTCAGTTGTGCAGCTCTGCATAGTCACATTAATTCTCAATCTTTTGCTTCCAGATAAGGAATGTTTATTAGCTTTTTAGTTACTAGCCATTGTAATAGCAACTTATATATCAAAGGAACCGGCAACTTCCTAAACTCCCCCCCCCCTCTGGATTTCTTGAGGTGTTGTCTCAAACCCAAAATACAAATATTCCCTGATTTAAATAAACATTATGTTTCAGAAAGCTTTGCATAGGCTGTTTTTGGATAGGATAGATATTCATCCTTGCAGCATACTACTTTATGTTCCATTCGTAATGCAAATTTTTATGCACTTTGAAATTTTTAGATGTACAGTTAACTCTATGTAAGCTAGCTTTTATATTACCACAGAAATATCTGTATTATCTTTCCACGGATCTTCTATGTCAACATAGCAGTTCAGTACTGAGAAGCAGAAAAAAATGTTCATGGGATATTGATACTAATTTTATGTTTTTCAAATTCAGAATGTATGCTTTTGGTAGCCAATTTGCACTGGCATAATTAGCTGAACTTTGTCACATAAGAAATGAAATACTTGAGCCGATTAGAAATTATTTAGTTCCATAATAACAAGAGATTTCTTCAGTTAGTGGCATTTTTACAGATGCACTTGGAGGCTTGATAAGGACTTGTAGCAGGCAATGACCATTCTTCTAGCCAGCTCAGTCAGTTATCTTCTGATGGTCTTAAAATAGCATTGATTTCATAACAGGTTTAAAATTGTCAGTCCTGTAATTATTTAATAACCTTTTCATAACCTATATAAAAGAACCATTGTTGAAAATCAAGAGATAAGCTAATTTGGTGTAATGGTTAAGTCACCAGGTTAGAAAGCAGGAGACCATGAATTATTATACTGTACACAAGACCAACAGGAAAATCTGGGAGCTGAAGAAAATATTGATTCTTCTCAAGATACCAATCAGGAGTTTCTTCCACATCTCCCACAAGCAAAGCATTGCTAGTTTACTGATTACATTCAGCTTAGAAGAAGAAGATGTTTCCTTGGGGATGGCTATACCCATGGAGTCATTGCATACCAATAGGAGAATTGGGTTTAAAGAATTAAATTCACATTGCTAGATGCTTTCTTAGTCATTTTACATAAAAATGTGACTCATTTTCTGCAACTTCCCTGTTTCCCTGAAAATAAGACCTCCCCGGGTAATAAGCCCCATCGAGCTTTTGAGCGCATGTGCTAAAATAAGCCTCCCCCCAAAATAAGCCCTCCCTGAAAATATTGCAACAAAGCAGCAGTCATGAGGTGACCATGCTCGCAAACTCCTGCATCTCAAAAGTAATAAGATCTCCCCGAAAATAAGGCCAAATGCTTATTTCAGGGGGTCAAAAGAAAATAAGACCCTATCTTATTTTCGGGAAAACATGGTATGATTTTTTTGAAAGGCACCTTGAGCAATAGTCAATAAGAAAGGTTTATAAAACAGTTTTAGTATAAAATAAATATCAACAAGTTAATAATTTTCTATTATCCTTATTTGGTAATATAATTTCACTCTTTACAACCCTTTTTTATGAACAGATGCAGGTACCTGTATTAGTTTATTTCAGGTACTGGTCCATTTTAAGAAATCTAATCTGAAATGTGTTTGGAAATTACAGTTTATCTGAGTAGAAATTTTGAAAAGTATGGAAACTGTTACTATCCAGCTTCACCAATTATGTAAATCCCTTTTATTAAGCCGTTTAAACTGCTTTAAGAAAGTGTTCCTTTTTGCAGATTTGGAAATTGGAAAATAATAGTAAAGTTCAGATGTATCTTTCCTGTTGAGATTTTGATCGGGATATCAGCATTGAGTGGAAATGCATTTGATAAGACTTTCACACTGTCTTTTCCTATTCCACATAGTCTGTGCAGGGATATTTATTATTTATTTATTTATTTATTTATTAAATTTATAGGCCGCCCAATCCCGCAGGACTCTAGGCAGCTTACAAAGCGAAGGAAAAAAAAGAGAAAGGAAAAAAATAAAAATAAAATGTAATTTAAAATTCACAACACATATTCGTTCTAGTCGGGGCTGGACCTTTCAATAAGGTCAACAGCCCCAGGCCTGCCGGAACAGCCAGGTTTTAACAGCCTTCCTGAAGGCCAGGATATGTCAGATTGTTAGTTTCCTTCACCTTTCCCCAAAAAGTATCAACCATGCTAGTTTTTAAAATCTTTTTTCTTTTTTGGATTAATTTGATTTAATTTTTCAGTAATAGTCCTTTCTCCAGTTGGAATTTGATTTGTGCAGAGAATTAAATTTTGTCTGACTTTGGCTTCATTTTTCCATAGCTATTTTCCAAAAATTGTGGAATAGCATAAAACTGATGGGTGCTTTCTTCACTCAGCAGTTTGCCAATTTTTATTAGCAAATAAAACAATACACTGCTGACACAAAATTAACCTCCATTTTTATATTTTCATTTAGAGCAAACTGTGTTAATACAAATAATTTCCTTTCAAAACCATTTTTATTAGGTCTGGATTCACTTTTCACAGCAAATAATGCTTAATTTCCATTGTAGGAAGAAAAACCATATTAGCCTATAGTGGTCAGAATTCAAGAATTTGGTAGCATCCTTGCTGACTAACAAATTTAATACAAAAAGATAAACTCTTAAAAAGGGACTCAGTGGCTAAGGTGCTGAGCTTGTTGATCAGAAAGATCGGCAGTTCGAATTCTTAGCGCCGCATAACGGAGTGAGTTCCCGTTACTTGTCCCAGCTTCTGCCAATCTAGCAGTTCGAAAGCATGTAAAAATGCAAGTAGAAAAATAGGAATCACCTTTGGTGGGAAGGTAACAGTGCTCTGTGCGCCTTCAGCGTTTAGTCATGCTGGCCACATAATCACAGAGATGTCTTCAGACAGCACTGGCTCTTCGACTTTGAAACGGGGATGAGCATCACCCCCTATAGTTGGGAACAACTAGCACATTTTCCTTTACCTTAAACTCTTATAAGTTGCAGTTTACTTTGAGAGATGTGCATGCACAAAACTTGGCTTTGAATAAAATTTATTAATCAGAAAAGATGCTATCGGACTCTGATTTTATATTACCTTTCCAAAGCTTACAACGAGTTGTACAAAAATAAAAGCAGTCAATATTTATATAAATCTATTGATTCTATCTCTATGTGCTTGTCTGTCTGAGACTAGAGACAACACTTCCAGGTTGCTGCTTTGAAAACTATATGCTGTGACTATATAGTCATTAAGCAGCGAGCCCACTCAAGAGACTATTTTACAATTTACATTATCAAATTTTCTTGATGCTGATTTTTGGCATAGAACTTTTATTGATATCATCGGTATTATTTAATGCTCCAATATTTTCAAAATAAATGTAATATACTAAATAGCTATATGGGCTGTTGGCAATGGTGTATTAATAAGATTAAGCATGTTTTTGCAGTATTTGTGTAATATGTTGTAGTTTAAAGTGATGTTTAAATAAAGAACTCAAAGGGGATTACATCTCAGTCTCATCAGCGTTGCAAAATTATGAAAATTTCAAAACTGGGATAAAACCATTTGCAGTGTTTTGAGCTTACAAAAAGAAGAATGGTCTATTAATGCAATTATAATTTTTAAAAATTCTGCACTGAATTAATTTAGATGGGATTTTCAGAAGATCTGCTAGAGCAGAGAAAATTGACCTGTGTTCTTCTTACTCTTTTTTTCTGATAATCTTGGAAGCATTTACATCTTTAAAGGTTTGACCTAAGTGATACGCAGTCCTCATTATATTCTAGTTGGATAAAACCACATGGTGGCAGTCTTGAAAGAAGAATTCATTTGCTCTGGGCTCTAACCTTCCCCTCTTATCTTTTCATACTCTTTTTATCATTAGTATTTAAATGCATCTTCTAGTACAGACCTTAGTGCTTGCCCCCCAGCAAACAAATGGGATAGATCCTTAGTTTTAAGCAAATTAATGAAAATTATTTCTTATGTATTGTTTCTTAGAACTGTATTAGTAATTAGGTATATACTTTAAGTATTGGGAGTATTTTGTAAAAAAAAAAAAAGTACTGGTACTTGTTATCCTTTAGCATTGATCAAGAACCCCTGTTTAGTGTTATCTTGAATTAGTATGAGATAGTCTCTGGTCGTCTGAGTAGTACAGCTAAATCCATAGAGCAGAAATAGATATGCTAGTATTCCTTAAATAGAATAGAATAAGTTAGAAGGGACCTTGGAAGTCTTCTAGTCCAATCCTCTGCTTAGGCAGGACACCCTACACCACTTCAGACAAATGGTTATCCAACATCTTCTTAAAAATTTCCAGTGTTGGAGCATTCACAACTTCTCGAAGTTGTGCCACTGATTAATTGTTCTAACTATCAGGAACTTTTTCCTTAGTTCTAAGTTGCTTCTCTCCTTGATTAGTTTCCACCCATTGCTTCTTGTTCTGCCCTCAGGTGCTTTGGAGAATAGTTTGACTCCCTCTTCTTTGTGGCAGCCCCTGCGATATTGGAACACTGCTGTCATGTCTCCCTTAGTCCTTCTTTTCATTAAACTAGACATAAGGAATGTTTTGGATGAATTTGATGATACCTATCCTTGGCTATGCTGTTTGGGAATTGTAATCCAGCACGTCTATGTTGTATTTTTTCCTACCAAGTATGCTATCTTGTGACTTTTTAAAAGATATGGCACTTCAGCATGCTTTAACACAATTAATTTTGGCTTGCCATTGCTTCATTGTTTCCTGTAACTGTGGCAGATTTTTGCCACTGTTAGATTACGGTTAGAGGCCTAAATATGACTAAACTCCTAAAGTGATTTTAATATTTATTTTCAAATTTCAGGAAGGACAGGTCCACCATCATCCACAGCTGTGGCTGGTACCTGTCAACCTGGCATCACCAAGACAACATCTGTTCTTCAAGATGGTGTCATTGTCACAACTGCAGCTGGAACACCACTACATAGCCAACTCCCTCTTGGGAATGACTTTCCTTTTGTTGGTCCTGAGCACACTCTGCATTTTCCACAGAACAGCGCTTCAAGCAACAGTCTTCCGCACTCTTTGAATCCTAACCTCTTTAGTTCGCTACCTATCTCTTTGCCAGTCAATCAGCAACATCTCCTAAACCAGAATCTATTAAATATACTTCAGCCTTCAACAGGAGAAGGCAAGTCTGAGGTCAACCTCAATCCTTTAGGTTTTCTCAACCCAAATGTAAATGCCGCTTTAGCTTTGCTCTCCGGTGAAGTGGATGGGCAGGTGCTGCAACCTGTCCATGTTCAGCTGCTAGCAGCTCTTCTTCAGAACCAAGCCCAAACATCTGCCATGTTCCCTTTAGCATCTTTCAATCTGTCCATCTCAGATCTGTTACAGCAACAGCAAAACGGTACTGTGCCCTCAGTAACACAGATGACAGCCCCACTACCAGATCAATTGCTTAGCAGTCAGTCAGATACCAACAGAGCTGAGACCCTGTTAACCAACCCCCTGGGAAACTCTTTCCCAAGCTTTTCAAGCACAGACACTGCTTCAAATCCCCTGCTCCTCCCAGCTGTCACTGGGGCCTCAGGATTCATGACCTTGAATCCCCAGCTGTTGGGAGGTGTTCTGAACTCTACATCGGGCAGCACTGCTAACCATCCAGAGGTTTCCATAGCAATCTCCTCCCAGGCTACCACTGGCACAGCCACTACATCATCAGCAGTGGCAGCACTGTCTGTCTCAACCCTTGGTGGGACAGCAGTGATGTCAATGGCAGAAACATTGCTGAGCATATCTAATAATGCTGGGAATACATCTGGTCCAGCTAAACTCAACAATAACTCTGTGGTGCCACAGCTACTTAACCCTCTACTGGGGACAGGTCTACTTGGTAAGTTAAAATATTTTCATAGATTTTGAAAAGAAAAAGCGGTGGTGGTGGGGGAGCTTCTATTTTCTACTTTTTTAAGGAGAAACAAAAATTCCATTTCATTGCAGGTTTTTTTTCCTAAAAGGTTTATGCCGTGTTGAATCTGTTTGACCATTCCAGTGAAAGAGCACAAATAAAATTTAGAACAAATGTTAAATAGCAGTTTAGAAAGTCTGATGTTGTCTCAATTCAGTCAGCCAATTGGAATGGATTTTATTTAATTTTTTTTTCAAAATTCATACTGCACAGTTGCTTCATTGGGATGCAGCATTTTATTTAAAATATCCAAGGCATCACAGGGTTGTATGAGTAGCTGTGCAATGGATGAAAAAAAAAATTCCATGTCCATAGAATTTAAAATATGCCAATGTAGCTAATCCCTAAATTCCATTGCAGCAATATATAAAGCAGACCAGATTCAAGGTAACAGGCTACCTTTCAGCTTATGTTCATGCTGTCATGCTTTGGGGGTTTTCATTTTCTATATAGCGTAGAAACTACCAGCTTCTAAATAATCTGATTTCCAATTCACATATTTAAGGCTGCAGTCATGTATACATTCAGTAGAATGTATGTCTCAGTAATCATTTAACTTTATATTATAACTCTGGGAGAGTATTATACTCTTCCAATGAATTCAGGGACATGATTTGTATATAAGGATTTTCACATTTATTAGAATACAATTATACAATGGAAAATTTATTTGTATGAACCTGGCTAAGAATCTGCCAAATTCTTGAATTTCCTTTAGGAATATTCCTGAATATTTTGTGTCTGTGCATGTTGAGCTGTTGGATTTCATAAATAAACCATAGGAAAAGTTAGATAAAGCAGCATTTCAGTAAACACAGATCTAACTTACTAATAACTCATAAAAATGAATTGGTTTCAGCAAATATAAATAGCAGACTATTTATATTAACTATAATCTGTATAGTCTTCCATTCTGCAATCTTATTATTATGCTACAATTCCAAGTCCTTCCGTTCCGCCCTTCATATTTCTTGCAAAGCCAGTTCTGTTTTGTAAAAGCTTTCAATCCAGCTTAAATATGTATGTGTTAAATATATATGTAAATTAAACCTCTGGCTTTTGTAGGCTATTTTTCATGATTTTAGCAAACTCAAAGAAGTATTAAAATAGATGTATAGATATAATAGATGTGGATATATAGATATAGATACACACATGTATAAAAGTTTATTTATAAAGAGAGAACTATAAGTTCATATTGTGGAATATGTTTTTTAAAATATTATGAAAGTTATTAGCAATTAAAGGAACAGATTTCTTAATGAATTTGTGAACAAGTTTCATAAATTAGATAGTGTTAGATGTATTACATTTTCACAGTTCGCAGAAAATGGGTAAGGATAATGTTTAGCTTGAACAAGCTCTAGTACCGCCTTTGCACAAAACATTTAAACTACACTGGATGGCTTCAAACATCACACTAAGCCAAAAATACCAAAAAAAAAACCACATTATGCTTAGCAAGCTTATATGTTGCTATAAATAAATTCATGGAAAGGAGAAACTTGAGTTAGAATTTATAGTTGACAGATGTCAGGTGGCTGTAATAGGAAGAAGAAAATTCTATAACTACCAAAGTCCAATAAAAAGCTGCAAGAAAAAATATTTCATTCTGTTTCTTTGCTGCTAAATGGAAAAAAGAACATGGCTTGGACAACACATACAGTATGCTTATTCTAGGGAGAATTACTGAATTAAATATTCATGTGTTTGGAATTGCAGGTGATGTGTCCTCGATAAACACTACTCTTAATAACCATCAGCTCACTCATCTACAGTCATTGTTCAACAACAATCAGATGTTTCCATCAAATCAGCAACAGCAGCTTCTCCAAGGTTATCAGAATCTCCAAGGCTTCCAAGGGCAGCTTCCCGTTCCTGGACCTCCTAACAACCCAAATCCTATGGCTTGTCTGTTCCAGAATTTTCAGGTAGAAATTGGCTTGTTTCTCAGGGATCCATGAAAAGAATAACACAAAAAACTATTATTACACTTTAATATTTATGGGGATTTTTATCATAAAACAAATCTATGGATTCCATTTTATCATGTCAAAACTATGCATGGTTCTAACAATGTTTGAGTGTGAGCATATCTCTTTCAGACGTTAAGGTGAAAGCAATGTCATTGGTGTTTTTTTTTAAATGGAGAACTGAAATTGAATAAATCTGGAAACCTAGTAATATAATCATCATATTTCAGTGCGAGAGTTGTAAATGCATGTTTACAGAAATCTTGCTCATTCAGATATTATCATCCTCTGAGTTGAAAAATTAAGCCAGTTTTACACATGATTTGTATTTCTTCTTTTATTAAAGTATTGCTGAATTGAAAACCTAGGAAAGAATTAATATAGACAATGACAAGAAAAGCTTTGTTCAGCATGATGAATAGAATAACATTATTTTACTAGTTTGCAAAAAATCATTGCTTTCCATCTACTTTTATTCCCAGCTGCTTTTTAACACTTTTATTTCATTATATATGAATTATGCATACATCTAAACTAGTCATTGTTTATTTATTAACAACATATTTCTGAGCTAAATTCAGTGTACCAGGCTTAAGTTTTAAACTCTAACTAATTGGAACTTATATTTTGGAAGGAACTCCTAAATTTCTTTAAGGATAGTGGAAATCAGTGGTGGGTTTCAAATTTTTTTAGAACCTCTTCTGTAGGTGTGGCCTGCTTTGTGGGAGTGGCTTGCCAGCCATGTGACCAGGTGGGAATGGCTTGGCAACCGAGTGGGAGTGGCTTGGCAGCCTTGTGACTGGGTGGGCGTAGCCAACTTGTAAAATGTGGTGAAACTCACTTAACAA